GGTTGTACTTGTAGCTCTGCCTATTTAATTCTGGTTTGATGGTATCAGGAGCTTTCCCTCATCCTCCCAGGAGGTAAGGAAGAGCAATGAGTGCTAAACACTTAGAGCAGCCCGTTTTGTATGGAGCGGGCTCTTTTTGGCAGGTTGCTTTTTCATTCATGTTTATCTAAGATCATTTTAGTCCCAATACGCTTCAGGTCCCAGGTGTCTTCCGACGGTTGTGTTCAGCTTCTCTAACATAGACTTTGAAGGTGCAACCAAATGAAAAGAAGACCTCCTTTCCCTGACTGGAATTTCCAGTTTCTTCATTTCTTTTCAGTGTAACAGCCTCCGTTTTTCTACCCTGAGGCTGGCTGCATTGTACTGTACAGGTTTCCCCCGTTTTGCTGCGACTGTTTTGCACATTCACTGTTACCTTCAGGATGGAAACTAATAAAGGATTACAGCTGAATGCTCTTCCTCGCATAGCATGTGAGTTTGCTTTATACTTAGAATCAGGATTAGGGATTTCAGCTCCTGGTTGGAGCCGAGGAGTAGCTACGCATGGCTTTCTTGGAAACGATTCACACACCAGACTAGATTCCCAACACGTGGCTTAGCGCTCACCCAGGGGAGCTGACGTAGTCTTCTGGTTCAGGTAGACAGTGACTGAGAGGGTCAGGCGCTTCTTACTGACTCAGATCCCTTTGGAGAATATTCACTTTAATTGTCTCAATTAGTTTTAAGGAACCAAAGCAAACTCTCCATCTTGGAGGCTGGGCAGCCCCATTCCTAGCGCTCAGTCGAACACCGAATACCAGCTTTGAGTAAGAATAGCACCAGCAACAAGAGTATTGAGAGAAACAACGTGTCCTGTACTGTGATAGGGCATCACCCCTGCCCCCTCCATTGCACCAGCGTGCCCAGATTCTGCTCCCTGCTTGTTGTCTTCTCACACTCTGTGCCTTCTCCCACACGGCCCCCTCTGAGCTCCTCTGCAAGCCCCTCTTCTGCTGTGTCACCTTCAGAGAATCGAGCTGACCTGTATGCACCTTGCCTCCTGGGGTTCATAGGTGCTGGAACTAGAGGTGCTGCCACACCCCCTGGCTTGAAGTAGTAATAACCCAAATACGTGATTACTGCCTTCAGCACCCCACTATAAAAATTGTTCCAGCACCACTGCTGGTGTTTCCCATCTCCTGACCTCTGTCTGTCCTGGGACCATCAGCTCGCTCAGAGCAGGGACCATCCTCCCTGAGTTTTTGGGGAGCGCCTAGCCCAGGGTGGGGGTCACTGCAAATAAATAGCAATAATGTCAAAATCTCTGTGATTGAAAAGCATCTCCTGGCATTTCCAGAGCACAGACGCTTTTCCCTAACCAACCCCTGAATAATTGCTCAGAAACGTGTGCCCGAGGCCCAGTCCTGTGATGCTGGTCGGCGTGGAACAGCCATTGACTTTAGGGGGAGCTCCCCCTGCCCTGGACTTGCAGGATTGGTCCTGAAAGGACAAATCTGGCTCCAGGTCCCCCTGCCCGCCAGCATGCAGGATTGCAAATGCAGTGGGAAGAAATGTTTGCATTGTGCAGCATCAGGGGATCACCAGTGGGAGGAACGAATCCTCCCGTCAGGAAGGACTCGTGCACTAATGTTTAAGGCAGGGCAGGGCCTGGGGCCCTGGCTCCTGTTCCCAGTTCTGTCACTGGCTTGCTGGGTGACCTTGGGCCAGTCACCAAAGGCCATATTGCAATTCATTGTGCATCAGGATTTGGGTGGCCAGTTTGAGTCTCCTCAGACCTGGTTTCGAGAGGCAATGAGCACCCACAACTCAGCGTGCAGTCGATGGCAGCCATCAGGGCCGGCTCCAGGGTTTTTGCCGCCCCAAGCAGCAAAAAGCAAAAAAAAAAAAAAAAAGCTGCGATCGCTATTTGCTCTACCGCTGCCGCTTCAGTCTTCGGCGGCGATTCGGCGGCTGCTCCTTCCCTTTGAGAGGGAGCGAGGGACCTGCCACCGAAGAGCCGGACGTGCCGCCCCTCTCCGTTGGTCGCCCCAAGCACCTGCTTGCGGGGCTGGTGCCTGGAGCCGGCCCTGGCAGCCGTGTGGGCACACAGAGCCTTTGAGAAATCAGGCCGTTGGTGTCTGGAGTTGGGCACTCAAACCGTTAGACACCCAAGATTAAGGGGCACACTTTAAAACATGGGGCTTAAGTGCTCTGGGCCTGATTCTCTTCCCCTGTTCTGGCCTCTTTGCCATGCTCAGGCCCTAACTAGGTTTCCCTTGCCATGGGGAAGCTCTTAGCTGGTGTGATTGGCTCCTATGCTGGCTACTTACAGTTCTAGTGCAGGGGGTGAGGCAGAGTGCACCCCCAGCCGTTGTAAATTGGTGTAACCCCCAGGCTGCTCTAATTCAGGCTAGGGCCAAGAGGATTAGGGAGCTGTAACTGAGTCATGAATGGGTGCCACCCTCCACTGAGCATCTCTCACTCTCCCCTTTCTGTGTCTGTGTCATGCTGCGTGTGTATGCCTACAGCTCCCTGCACAATGGGGACCTAGTCTTGGTGGGGGGGAGGGGGGGCTCTACATGTGATCAGTCATAACCAAACATAGCTGAAAATACTTCCTGTCACAGTGAGGCCTGGTGAGAGGCCCGGGGCTGACCAGCCCTGCTCAGTTAGCCCTGCCCCGCCACACCTGGGCAGGGTGTGGGAGTTAGAAGGAAGAAAGTGCAGCAGGGAGAGGATGACAGGGGAGGGGTGTGGACTGACTGCTCCTTCCTGAGAGCCAGAGCTCTCTGTAGAGGGGAGGGGAGAGTAGGGGAGGGGAGGGAGTCTCTCTTCTGGAAGCCCTGAGGGAGAACAGGCATGGATATTAGATCTCTTTTTGGCAGGGGTCTGGGGAAGAAGCCTCAATAAACCTAGGGCCAGAGGCCAGTGAGAGGGCCAGGGTTTGCTTGGAGCTAAGGAGGAGTGAAGAGGACTGTTCACAGACCCTAAGAGTGGGCTGCAGAGGACACCCAGCATCAAGAGCAGAAGGTGCATGGTGGGCCCTGAGACAGGGGAGAAGAAATTTTTCCAGGCCTCAGTGCAAGGCCTGTGGACACTGGTACCCTGGAAGGGGTGGGACTCAGTGTTTCTTAGCTGGAGGCAAGGGTGAAAGTAATTTAAGGGACTTACCGGTACGCAGGGCCGGGGTCCTGAGCAAGGTGCCGGGGTGGGGCCTTTAAATCCCTGGGCCCTTTAAATTGCCTCCGGAGCCCAAGGGCTCCTGGCCGCCGCCACCTCCCCTGGGCTCCGGCGGCGATTTAAAGGGTCTGAGGCTCCAGCTGCGGTAGCAACGGCTGGGAGCCCTGGGCCCTTTAAATTGCTGCCGGAGCTCCAGGGCTCCCGGCCGCCGTCGCTACCCCAGGCCTCTGGCAGCGGGGCTCTGGTGGTGATTTAAAGGACCCAGGGCTCCGGCCGCTGCCGGGAGCCTAGAACCCTTTTAAATTGTCGGCTTGGGGAAGCTGCCTCCTGCCAGTACAGTTGCTGTGTACCGGCTCTTGCCAGTATGCCGTACCGGACCAGAGCGGCTTACTTTCACCTCTGGCTGGAGGGCTCAATGGAAGGCAGTGGCAGCTGGGTGCAGTTGTGGAAGACCAAGGGGAAACTGAGGCAAAGCTGCTGCAGTGCTCCACTGGGCTGCGAGGGGGTACTCTGGGACATTGAGTTTTGTAGCACTTCCCTTCCTCACAGGGATGTTGTGAACTAAGGTGCTTTGAGAGCCTCAGCTGGGTTCTTTCACAGAAGGAATCAAAGAACCGACCCCATAAAGAGGGACTGAGCCTAGAAGAAGAGCATTTCTTGTACAGTGCAAATTATTCCTGCAATGCATTGTGCACATGTATGGCATAGACTGAAATATTTTCAAAATGGAACAGACTCAGGTTCTAAACTGTGTCTTATATCGGACAATAGATAAGGCGTTCCAGTAAAGACAGCAAATGTGAGCAACACCAATCTTATGAATATGCAATGGAGGAATTTCTTTGTTGGTACCCGAGGTGATTTTAGGCATGTTTCCTCTGTCTGAGAGAATTGAGCCTTTCAAACTCAATCAGCTTTAAAACTCCGCCATCCCTTACAACCAAAACAGTCCTGCCCTTTCTCCTGCCGGTCGGGAGATAGCTGTTGGCTGCACTAAAAAATCAGTGTGTTTCATGCTATAGTTATTCCACCGTGTGTATGATACAGATTAAATATCTTTCGAGTGTTCCTGCTTGCATGGGGAAATCACTAGATGCAATTTAGTGCTACGGTGTTGAATGCAGATATATTTTCCCCACAGAGAACCTTGTTCAATCTTGATGCCATCAGACAAGTCTCTAATGGGGAAGATGCCACAGATAAGCTTGCAGCTCTGATAGCTATAGCCCATGTGAAATATCTCAGCACTAGCCCTAATTCAAAAACCCAACACCACCATGAACCCTTATTGGTCCCCCTGTGGACAGAAAAAGCCAGGATTGAATGAGCAACGAGACTGAACTCCCCTTCGCACCTCCAGGAGGTACCTTCAGGATCAGGGTTGAGGAACATTGGCTTGGGGCTGGGTGGGGGCAGGTCGAGGGAAACCTGCACTCCTGCTTCTCACGTTGCACCTGGCCTGGGGATCCCGTCTGCCCAGTAATCGTTTTTATGAAGGCAGGGCTTTCTGCTACAGGAAGCAATTCAACAGCAATAGCAACGACAGCAAGGGCAGTGATGGAGAGAAAACATAACCTCAGGGCTAAGTGAATTAGTGGAAGCATGTGAAAGATTAAACAATAGCCAAACTCTCCGGTGAACAAATGGAGCTTTGTCCGGTAACGTACCCATGAAAAGACATGTAGCTCTTAAGCCACAAGGTTTTTTGTTGCCTTTGTATTTTTCCTTAACAAATCAAAGCGCCAGAGGGTTCAAATAGAGACTGTAGATGAACAAGTGAAACCTTTGAATGTCAGCCTTGCTGCTTTGTGAACATGTTGTGTCCTCTTTCTGCGTTCCAGGGCTCTGGCAGACATCCTGAGGCAGCAGGGGCCAATCCCAATAGCACACTGTGAAAGAGAGACTATCTCGGCCATAGATACCCCTCCCAAAGAAAACACGCCTGTCCGAACATCCTCCAAAAACCACTACACCCCTGTGCGCACCTCTAAAAGCAACCCAGGTAAGTGTCACTGTTCTGCTTGGTTCTTACCCAGCCCATTGCTCCAATGTCATGTCGAATATGAACAGAAGAGAAGCGGTAAAGTACATTACACTGCTCCACTTATTGGCAACAGCATTGAACGTGCTGGGTAAAAACTGTCTCTAAGAGGCAATCAGATCAGAACTGTATCGCAAGAAGCAGTTGTGATGGTTCTGTAAGTCATCCAGCTGCATTTGCTAAATTAGTTTGTCATGCTATGCAGGTATTTTAGAAATGTCAGAATCAGCAGCAAGTACATGAGAGGTTTGCTGAGAATTTACAATTGTCCCCTGGTCCCCAACCCAACACACAGAGTGTGAAATATTGCCCAGGCTCCATGAATACTGCGGCTGGAAAGGAAGGAATCCACACAAGCTAGGATACCTCATCCAGTCAGAGAAAAGCCACATGTGGAAAGTGTGGCTGTGACCCAGATCTTCATATTAGGAAGGAGCATATGGGCACATGACCGATCCCAGGGAAGGGGGAATAGCATGGCTAGAGGGTAGAGCACTGGACTGGTACTCAAGAGATCTGGGTTCTGTGCTGGGCCTGCAAGGTGTTTGAGCAAGTCACTTCAGCTTCCCCATCGGTAGAGTGCTCTGGGGTCGCAGGATACACAGCACTGTGTAAGAGTGAGGGATTGGTTAGTCATTTCGTTACCTGCAGATAATCACAATGAAGATATTTTAAATATCATCATGGCTGCTAAGCACCTGTTGTGAAGTGAGATGTGGAGGATTCTCTATCGCTTAAAGTCTTTAAATTGAGTTTGGATGTCTTCCCACAAGATACACTCTCATTCAATCAGGAGTTGTTAAGTTTGATGCGGGAGTTACTGGGTGACATTCTCTGGCCTGTTATACAGGAGATCAGATCAGATGATCATAATGGTTCCTTCTGGGACCTTCACATGGAAGCCAATAGGAGCCGAGGGTGCTCAGTAATGTGCGAGATTGTGCCCATACTGCTGTTGATTGTATTAAGTGTTGGTTTCAATGATCTAAGGACTTTCTTTTAATCTACCTTGATGCTCCTTCTGCTCCATGAAGAAGACCACTAGGAAAGTTGGATGGGAGTTGCATCACTGTCATACAAAAGACCATACAGTCTTCACATGGTATTCACATACAGTACAACCCTAACTGATTGAAACTTGTGGATACAATGTTGCCCCACTGGTGATAATACTGGTAAGGGCTTCATCAATGAACCCTGGGTGCCCCAGACTTGAATATAGCCCAAAGTAAGCCAGGCCCAGAGTGTAACCCCATTGTGTCTGGCTGACATTTGGGAAGCCAGACACCTGGAGAATAAATTCCTTTACTCTGTATTCCTTCAGCTTTAAATGCACTTGCCAAAAGTCTGTACTTCTGCAGTTGTGTCATTTTTTAAAACAGAAATAGTTGCAAGAATTTCACATGCATCCCGCATTGCTGTTTCCATTTTGTTGCCAGTTTCTCACTTTTGTATTTTCCCTTTATGTACTGTTGAATTTTTGTTGTTGTTGTTGTTGTTGCTTATTTTATATATGGGAAGAAGATTTCTGGTAGTAGAGGACTCTTTAAACCAGCAGATCCAGTGCCTGGAAGTTGAAACTTGACAAATTGAAACAAGAAATAAGGTGCAAAATTTTAAGGATAATTAACCATTGGCACAATTTGCCAAAGCATGTGGTGGATTCTCCATTATATGAATTATTTAAATGAAGATTGGGATGTCTTTCTAAAAGATACACTCTAGTTCAACCAAAATTTGGGGGCTTTATACAGGAATCACTGGGTGAAATTCTATGGCCTATGTTACGCAGGAGGCCAGATCAGATTATCATAATTGTCCCTTCTGGCGGTAGCATCCATGAATCAATTATTAGGTTTCCATGGCTGTGTCGTGGTGACTGTTAGAGAGATGCCGTGCACAGCAATGTCGTGATCCTGAGGAGACTGGATCAGTTGACCATGAGCTCTAGAGTTCCCAAACCTTGCTAAGAACAAAGGGCCCGAGAAGTCCCAGGAGAAAGGACTTTTTTTCTCTCCCCTATTTAATTGATCAGAGACCAAAGAACCCTGCAGAGCTAGCCAGTGGAATCTTACCTGTGAAATAAACTGAGTAATAACGATTCAAGGTGGAGAATGGGACTGCACAGTGAATTGTCTATAGGAGGCAGGGTGTGCTTGGGTGGCCAGGGCTCTGGCACTTAAAGGACTTTGTAACTCTGTTGGGGTGATACAACCACAAGAATTAAAGAGGACATGGTGCTCTGGTTTTGTACACAGGGTCTTCAGTTGGCTTGAGCTTTTTTTGGGCTAGGCAGGGTGGTCCATTGCCTTCCTTTCAGGCTAGTGAACTAAATGTGTTGTCCCCAGAAGAAGATAATTTGGCAGGGATCTTGTTTGGTAGGAAGTGCCAGGCCAACAAAGAATCAGAAAGAGAAACAAGGGACTCCAGTGTGCATGCAGAAGAGACCAGATGGACTCAGTGAGCCTGGGTTAGATGCAATACTAAGGCTCTATCACAGATGGAAAGTACCAGAAGGGAAAAAAGGGAAGATTTGTAAGGGAATTACCTGATTCCAGTGTTTTCAGCTTCTGGAGTCTCCTCAAGAGCTGACAGGTCAGGTGGGTGCTCCAAGGAGTGACCAGGAGGTCAGCAGAGGTACAGTAGGAAGCCAGGATCAGAAGCACAGACACTAGCTTCATGTGTGCCTAAAGATGACCGGCTGGTAGGGTTTCATGGCTCTCTGATTGGTTATTTTGGTTATTTCTCTGCTAGTGCAGCATCAGGCTACACACTAAAGTGCAACATCCAGTGCTGGGTCTAATGCGATTCTTGCAGGAGGAGTGGGGCAGAGAGGGAACCAGGGAACAGAAATGGGTGCAAAGGAGGGGAAGAGGGTGACTGTTGATTCAGATTCTGTTCATGTTTTAGCAAATGCCATTGGAAAAGAGCTTGCTGAGAAAAGCTCCTGCTACACAGATGGGGCTGAAAGAGGCCTTGGCAATGGTGGGATGGGATATGGAGAATGCCCACAACCCCCTCAAGGAAGTGGTGGAACTGACCATAAAGAAATGCTGTTCAGATAAAGCTTGCTGAGGACATGAACAGTTGCAATGGCTGATGGGAACTATTGCCATCTCTATGTGGGGCAAGCCACCGAGAGCAAACAGAAGCCACAGGGTACCTGCCATCCCAATGGGGGAGGTGAGGGCCTTGGATCTAAGGAGATGGCACCAGGTTTCCAATGGAAGGGTTCCCCTCCCACCTTTGGTTTCTTTTTTCTTTGGGCCTTTGAGGCACACTGGGCCCAAGCCTGATGTAATCCTTGGGAGAAAAGGTGGCCTGGGGAGAAAAACCCCCATGTCCGTTTTGTAAGGAAGGAAACCTTCATTCTCAACTAAACCTCCCTGTGCAGCATTGCTTCTGCCACACTCTCCAGGAACAGTGAACACAGGCTATCTTGCCAGAGCCAGGATTTATTTTCCCCTCTGAATTCTCGACAGGCCTGGGGCCATGAGTGTGTAAAGGACATCTCCATGGCCTAGCAATTGGGGAGCAGCAAAAGAGCTGACAATGTTGCTACTTCTCTTTTCCTCCTCCTGCTGTCAAGTTCGTTGCAGATTGGATTGGCAGGGAAGTGGCTCATGCCCTTCCCCTGCAGCTGTGGTTTCTGTTTCACATGCTGTAACCCACCGGTGCCATTTTGATGATGTTAGGAGCCGTGCTGCCAAGAGGTGAAAGCTGGGCCTGAGACTGGTTGGGCAGGTGCACACCTCTCCAGCTGTGCACCTTCTGATCAGTATGAGCTACAGCACTCACTGCAGCCAGAAGTGTTCCTCCCTCCCTCCCACCCAGACGTCGTCTTCTTTCACTGTGTGCTGTTGTAAACAACAGGTAACACCCAATGAGTCTGAGGTTACAGAGCAACTATCTAATCCAGCTAGCTACTGGCATTCCTAATGCATCCATCACTGTGGCACCTGGAGACATGTCAGACAGACAATCCTGTGTAATTGTCAACTCCTTTCTCCTCAGCCATGGTCTTTGCTTGTTGCCTGTATTCTGACATCTGTTTAACGGTCAGTTGTATACATTTGGGCCTTCGTAGCTGAGAATCATGGACGGGAATAAGGAAGAATGAGTGAACAGTGGGAAATCTGCCGGGCCACCGGGTGTTTGAAGAACATAGTGTATGAGTAGCAACATGATGCGAGCATCTCTGGGCTCCATAGGAGATGCCCTACACCGTTTGGTGCTAGACACCAGTGACAAGTTAAAGCAACATCAGAGAAGTGGGTAGGGGAAGAGACTATGAAAGCTCCTGTGACAATGGTGCTGATGCTCAGGAGAACTAATGGAGAAAGTGAGGCCCAGATTCTCAAATCAGCTTCACCAGCGGAGACACCGCAGAGGGCAGAATGGAGATAATTGGTTGGCTTGGCAGGTTACCTTCCCAAAGAGTGGGTGACCAAACCACAGGCTAGGCTAGAACTGCCAAGATGCTGCCAGCCAGGAGCTTTCTGAACAGAGCTTCTCCGGAGGAGAGGACCAGCACAGGCCTCTCACTGGTGGGGGAGGGTTTCACAGCAGTGGTGTGGACGGACTCTCCATTCCAAAACCAAACCCACACAACCACCCCCAAAATAAAACTCCAAAAGGTGCCTTGGGCCAGATCTGCAGCTGGTGTAAATCAGCAGAGCTCCAGCGAGGTCAGTGGGCCTGATCCGCAGCCAGTGTAAATCAGTGGAGCTCCAGCGAGGTCAGTGGGCCTGATCTGCAGCCAGTGTAAATCAGCGTAGCTCCAGTGACGTTAGTGAACTGTGCCAATTTGCACAGTCTTTTCTCTTTTGGCCAGATCCTGGCCCCTTCTGAGGCTTCTTCATACACCAGCATTTCCCACTGACTGCAGTGCTGTAAGGGAGTGGAGAGTCAGGCCCCCTGGAGTTACGTTTGTGTAATATTCACATAAGAGGACAATCCGT